TTTGCTGTTCGAGCTGCCATTGTTGCAGGTTTTCTTGCAACTGTTGTTGTCTCTCTTCTTGTTTATTTTGTCTTTCTTCTTGTTTCTTTTCTTTTTCCTCCAACAACTGCTGTAATTTCTCTTGTTTATTTTGCTGTTCGAGCTGCCATTGTTGCAGGTTTTCTTGCAACTGCTGTTGTCTCTCTTCTTGTTTATTTTCTTTCTCCTCCAACCGCTGCTGTTGACTTTCTTGTTTACTTTGCTGTTTGAGCTGCCATTGCTGTAGGTTTTCTTGTAACTGCTGTTGTCTTTCTTCTTGTTTCTTTTCTTTTTCCTCCAACAACTGCCGTAATTTCTCTTCTTGTTTATTTTGTTGTTCGAGCTGCCACTGTTGCAGGCTTTCTTGCAACTGCTGGTGTCTCTCTTCTTGTTTCTTTTCTTTTTCCTCCAACAACTGCTGTAATTTCTCTTATTTATTTTGCTGTTCGAGCTGCCATTGTTGCAGGTTTTCTTGCAACTGCTGTTGTCTCTCTTCTTGTTTATTTTCTCGTTCTTCTTGTTTCTTTTCTTTTTCCTCTAACAACTGTTGTAATTTCTCTTCTTGTTCTTCTTGTTTCTTTTCTTTTTCTTCTAACAACTGTTGTAATTTCTCTTCTCGTTTTTCTTGTTTCTTTTCTTGTTTATTTTCTCGTTCTTCTTGTTTCTTTTCTTTTTCCTCTAACAACTGTTGTAATTTCTCTTCTCGTTCTTCTTGTTTCTTTACTTGTTTTTGTATTGCTGCCATCAAATCTGCTAAGCTGTAGTTTGATTTTCCGCCTCTCGTTTCCATCTTCTTCTCTTTTTTTTTTTCTATCCCACTTCTGACACCAATTTGTTACGTCTCCGTTTGTTAATTAACTTTCCGTAACTTCGTTCCGACGAAACTTTAGCAACACAAGTTCTTTTCTTAATAAAACTGGTTTATTCTTTGTATTACAACTTTACGATACACTTATTTTCAACAATCACGCTAAAACAAACGCTATATCAACGAAAGTCAATAATACTTCTGACTGCAGTTCAATTACTCACTATCTACACACACATTACATTACATTACTCTGTCACCCTCTTTTATATACCAGACTACCCTATATCTAGTAAATACTAGAGCATTCGCCAAGGTACAGGATAGTTCTAGAAACGTGGCGTCACAGTAGTCATGTGACTCGCTGACGCAACAATAATATAATCCAAAATAACATTATTAACAAGTGGAACTGGGAAATAAAATATTATACAAATAACAATGATTAAAAAAGGTTGATTTTGACTGCTTTTAAGTACAAATATATACAATGGGCTATATGGGCTCTACCCACCATATGTATCAAAACCAGGTTTTAGCATCGTAAACTTGCAAACTCATTTTCGAGCCAATGGGGTCAAAAATCATTCTTAAAGGATTACAAGTGTTCAGAAAAAGTATCAATGCCTTTCAGGGATTATAAAAATGTACAAGAAAGAACTTATTGAAACCATAATGATTAAAAAAATTAAGGCTCAAAAAACTATAAAAAAAAACACCAAGTATAATGACAAGGGTACTTAAGTATTGATTATGAGCAAAAAAGTACCAGGGATACAAAAAACATCATACTATCAGCACATACTTGACTGTATTATAATGGTTGTTATTGTTCATTTAATAGGACACAAGATTTATTTCCCTCTCTTTTCAAGTTAAGAAAAATTAACTTTATAGTTCCTCAGTTCTTAGCACATAGACAAGCATATATACATTTATGAACAAACATTCAAAACAAACAAAAAGTTTACTCACGTTTCAAGGGCTAGGTTTATATCAAAAGTCATCATCATTCCTGTCTCCACATGGAATATATATAACATTTTGATAGAGGTACTGGCTCACGTTACAACTACGATTTTATTGTACCTGTAGGAAAGAAAATTTAAAAGTGCATATAGTTCTTTTTTTAGATATTTTCCTGAATTTTATTAAACATTTAAACAGAGTGATAATTTTATCTAATTCAGGTATTTCAAGGGATTAGATAGTCTTCCTATGGTTGTCAATTTGGATGTTCAATTAAAATATTGGAAAATACACATTTAATATTACAAGTAATATAATGTACTCGAAGAGATGTCTATTTGGCACCTTAAATGCTGGTAGCTCAGATGAAAGAGCACTGACTGCAGGAAGTGTGTGAACCAGGGTTCTAGGTTCAAGTTTCAACCAAGGTAGATTGTTTTACAGTTATTAACTGATTAATCAATAAATTAACCTGTCTAAAGGTGGATTAGCAAATACCACTAATCATCCAGCTCTAACTTTGAATATTTAAAAATTTATTTCACAAAATTTTCAACCTTTGATCAGTATCTCCAACTAATTGAGTTGTCTAATTCAAAACAGATAATTCTAGTCACATCCCATCAAAACTTGCCCTCAAATAGCATTATTTCCACATTATCAAAATCTCCCATAACTAGTGTTATAATTATTTCATTTAGCCTACCCTAAAAATATTCATGTACTTTGTTCCTGCACTACACCTTTCCCTACATGTTATTCTTTCTGCATTTAGTTTATCATCATTGGGGCATAATTAGTAAACTTGTAGAGTTTGCTCGTAACATTAAATTCATGGGTATTTTTGGCTGTATTGAGGATACTGATGTATTACAGGATGACTTGAATCTGTTTCAGAGGCACTTTTAACCCTTCAAACTACTCAGTGCAATTTCCTTAGGGGACCCATCCATACTGATCAGCTATCGGTATAGACGTAAATTTTTTTGCATTACTTTGGGGGCCCACATCGGTGCATTACCCTGATTTCATCAATGTTAAATACACCACTGATCAATTGGAAAGTTGGACATATTTTTTGCAATTCACTTAATTATAGTAAGTGCAAGGTAATAAATTTGGATTATCATAATTTGAACCATACATTTAATACAGATGGGAACCAAATCAAAAATGTAAGCTGAAGAAAAGGATATTAACTGACATACTGGTAGAAGACTCAATCAATCCATCTGTGTATTGCTCTATTGCTAGCTGTAAAACTAACAGAATTTTAGTATGAATTAATAGACACAGATACAATAGATTACAAATCAAAACAGGCAATTATCTTCACATAAAAATCATTTTCTATGTCTCACTTGAAATACTTTATAGTTTTGGTTTCCTTATCCATAAAGAAAAAAAGGATATTGACTTATTGGAAAGGGTTCAGAGGAGGGCTAATAGGATATTTTGGAGATGGAAGGCTTATCTTATGTGGATAAGTTGAGATTTCACATGATCTGCCTCTCTGGAAAAAGAAGGGTAGGAGATGATGATCTTGGCATTTAGAAAATTACTTAGCCAATTGATATGATAAAGACCTCCAATTTCTTTTTTACTATATTCTGAAGACAATGAAAAGGATGAAAAGATACAACTTTAAGATTTGGAAAAAGACAGGTTCAGTTAAGAGACAGTTTTATTTTTCTAACAAGGTGACTGACGTGGAATGAACTGCCATTGCTAGTAATGAAGGTAAACACTTCTCAGGAGTTTAAGAGAGGAATTCATGATTTCCTGGATAATAAAGAATGGGTTTAAATTTATACTTTTCTGAAGGACAGATATACAATGGTAACCTTTAATTACCAGATGGTTCCTTATTATCCAACCATATTTTTTGTTAAATGTTAAGTTATACACACAAACTGTTAACATTCTATATGAAATGCACAGAGAAACTGATGATTTCCTGAATAGTAAAGAATGGGTTAAATATTTATACTTTCATCAAGGATGGGTGTGCATGGACAACCTTGAAGGATCACATAGTCCCTTGTTGGTTCTATCATGTTAGCATCCACTCTTGCTACAAATGTAAAAATAGTAAAAATTTCTTTTGACACATGTAAGCAAAATGTTAGATTAGGAGTGGGGCTTTTGAGGAATGATACAAGAATACTAATATAAAATAATAATGGAATGACTGAGTTATTAAATTCTACTTTTTCTCTTTAATTTTTATAAATGAAAATTTAAACAACAGTCCTCATTTTGAACAGTTGCTAGATGAAAACAAGAATGAACAAGATAATCAAATTAATTCTGTGCTTGTTAAGAAAAAATTGTGAAATCTAATAAAAATTAAAGCTCCTTGGCCAGATACTATTTACCCAAGGGTTTGGAAAAAAGGTTAAGGAATGGATATATGGGTTACTTGCTATTATGAATAGTGGGCAGGTGCTGGAAAATAGAAAGTTGGTTAATGCTACTCCTCTTCTGAAGTGAGATGATACAACTTGTCCCAGTAATTATAGGCCTATTAGTCTTGCATCAGTGGTGAGAAAGATTTTGAAAGTCTGATAAAAAGATGATTTTAAATGTGTTTAAAAAAATTTTAAATTAATTGCATCCATCACATCTGAAGGCAACCTGTTCCAAAGGCCAACCATCCTCTTTGAAAAATAAAGCTGTCTTAGCTGAAAATGACTTCTACTCTGCCAAGATTTTAACTTGTATCCCCTAGTTCAACCATTCTCACCACTAAAAAAAAAAAAAAAAGATGCATCAACATTAGTGATTCCCTTAACAATCTTAAACACCTCAATCAGATCTCCCTCTAATTCCTCGTTTTTCAAAAGAAAACAACTCGAGAGATATTATCCTGTCCTTTTATGGCAGTCTTTTCATCCTAGTAGCCCTCCTCTGAACTCTTTCCAATAATTCAAGGTAAAGAGCCTAAGAAGGAACACAGTATTCCAAATGTGGCCTAACCAATTATTTGTACAATGAAATTATAACCTTTCTAAATGTGTATTCAATACTTCTGTAGAAACAACCTAAAATCTTATTCGCCCTTCTACTAGCAACAGCACATTGTTTGGGTGGCTTAAAGACTGATCAACTAGAACACCAAAATTCTGTTCTTCTGTGACACTGTTAAGATCAGTAGGTTATTCCCATCAAAATCATACTCATAATTCAAATTATGATATGCTACATGCATTACCTTGTATGCATTAATTTATAATATTCTTATGTAGCTCATAATGTTTTTTTGTTGTACATACAATTCATTGGTCTACAGCACTTTAGGGAGGCAGCTAGCCACTCCTTAGTAGTGGTATAGGAAAAGTTAGAAACACTGTTCTACATGATTCTGGTCAATCCAATATTTCTCATATAATGCTCGTGGTCAGAAATACTGCCAATATATTCTTTTTAAAAACAAGAGAACATTTTAAAGCTCATCTAGCTCACAGTCTTCAACAAAAATCTTGCCATCAACATCCTGTAAGTGTCCAATCATCATTTTAAGACTTCTTACCTCTAACATACTGAAAAAATTAAATTATTATCAACCACCTGTTTCACAAGCCCATTCTGGATTTCCCATTTCTGTTTTAACCAAATCCAAATCTTTCAGAGTTCTGTAAGTGTAACTGTAAGTCTTCCATCTTATTTGTCAATTTAAACCTCTTAAATTCATTACTCATTCACATTCTTACTCTTTGTAAACCAATGGCTGAAATTAAGTGCGACTGTACGTTTATACAGTTTTAAAAGTTAAATTCTTAAAATCAGTTTCTATCATCAGTTAACAATAAATAATTATCATATTTTACACTTACAGCATATAATTTATAAACATGAACTTCATGATGATGAAGTCATACTCGTACGAGTCGTAGGACTTTTGACAAATTTTCAAAACTGAAAAAATCTTGTTATAATAATATTGTATCAAGTTAATACAGCTTGCGAGATGTAATTCTACCTTTATTTTGTTATGGTTTTGTTTACCGTTCATTTATCATTCCTTCTATTGTTTAGTTCAACTATGAATTTTTTATTAAAGTTTAAACTAAATTTAAAGCGCTAACTTACCTTACATCTAATTCGAATTAGAACACGTTGATCTTGAATATGTATATATGAAACTGACACAAGCTTTCCCTAACGGTAACCTATAGATATGTATGTTGTGAAAGATGATATTTACTTATTATAATAGTCAATTACATGAGATGTAGCCTTATCGGACTAACCATTAAATAAAAAAACCTTCTTTTCAAATTTTCTGGTTCTGTTCCTAATATATATATATATATGACATTTATTATGATTAATCAGATTTAAATTTATTTTGTATTGTTTACTAATTTTTGTGCCTAGTCATGGTCAGGCACGGGTTTATTAATTATTTTTCTATGTGATAAAATTTGTACTCTAGTTGTTTGATATATTTTTTAAATTTCTTTTGTTATATTTGATAAATTGTTTTGTTTGATACTGGTTGTACTGGGGTTTTGTTTAGGCCGTTACGGACTATAGTTCTATTGTAGTACCAGCTGACAATGTCTAACTTCACATACCTAACTCTAATAGTCCATGGACCATGACCCAAAGTTTCATTTATTGGTACCTTCTATAGTATATATTTGGGTATGATAACCATTGCAGAGAGGTAGCTTAGTGGTGGTAATAAGCTGTTTAATGTACCCACTCCTGGGATACATCTTGCTGTTGCCCCTTTTGTATGGTTTACAAAGTTCATGAATAAAGGCAAGAGAAAGTCATGAAATAATCCATTTATAATGTTCTTGCCATTAATGCACAATCTTACAATGTCTGTGTAACAGTGCAGAAGCTATGTAATAGTGAAATTCCTCCAGATATGCGATCTTTCACAGAAAATGTCAAACATATTAAAGGCATATGCTAGCATTGTCAGGACTGAAATGTATATATATATTTCTTTGGTTTATTATACCAAAATATAAACATTATAATAAAGGAGAGATTTTCTTGGCTGTCATTTGCATATCCTTTCTGATTATGAAAATATCTGTGAACAAGACTAAAATGGTACCAGTACCACTTTGCTGAAATGACAGTTAGTCCCACATACTTTTATTTGTGTTGTATTGCAGCCACTTCTTAAAAGTGGTTTATATTTTCAGCAGTTTTATTTGTTAAATTATCTTCTTTTTAGTTAATATTTTGGTAGCTTTAATCTAGGCATTTCTTAATGAACTGATGCATTATTGAACCCCATAGAAGATCAGTAGGAATATTAAAACAATGTTTAAAGGTTGTTATTTAAACAAAGGAACTAGGAACTGTTGAAAGTTTGATTTCTTGATTATATATGACTAAAGTCAGTAAAATGATATTTATAATACATGGTAGATTAAATGTAGGTATATGAATGTAATGGGATAGAGATCATGAAAATGTAGTGTTACGTCTCCGTTTGTTAATTAACTTTCCGTAACTCCGTTCCGACAAAACTTTAGCGACACAAGTTCTTTACTTAATAAAACTGGTTTATTCTTTCCGAATACAACTTTACCGATACACTCAACTTCAACAATCGCGCTAAACAAACGCTATAACAACGAACGTGCTCAATAATACTTCTGACTGCAGATCAATTACTCACTATCTATACACACATTACCTTCATCTCGCGTCACGTTGTCCCCTCTTATATATACCCGCCTACCCTATATCTAGTAAGAACTAGAACATTCGCCAAAGTACAGGATAATTCTAGAAAGTAGAGAGCGTGAGAATCACATGATCTCGATGACGCAACAGTAGCATAAATCAGGAGGCGGTGTTTTAATTGCCTGCAGGTCAACTGCCTTCACCTAGATAGCAATTCCGTTAACTCTGTGGGATATCCCCTCATCATTGATGGTTTCTTCAAGTCGGTCAATGTTGTCCCAGGCTAGAGTCGTGAAGACTCCAGGATGGATGTTTGCTGGAAGAGTGACATTATCTTCTGACAGTGAAAGCTTGTGCTGACACAGGGCTGTGTCAATCTCTTCCATCTGGGAGACGGATACACTGTGACCAGGTCGGTTAAGAATCTGAATGAGCTCTACATTTCCAGTCAAAGACTTGACTGCAAATGGAAGAATGATGTGTTTGGGTGGTTTTGTCTTTCGCTGAATAATAGCATATACCAAGTCATGACCAAAAGAGCTTACAAACTACTTAACTCATTGGGATGCTTGGCTATGGTCCTTGGTGCCAGTTAGCAACTATTGTAGAAAGAGGATGATAGACTTTGAGCTAATTGATCCACTCTCCTCCACTTCGGCTACCTGTGGTAACCAGGTTTAGAGGAAACTTTGTTTCTTCCTGTCCATTCTCATCTGCAGGGCTGCCTTGGCTATAACATCTTCTGCGGTGAGCTCCACTTTCAGAGTGAGATTAGCTTTGGTAAGTTCAGTTATTGACAAATTGTCAGGATAGAGAAGAAGTTTCCCTTTCCCATTGGGGAAGATAATGCAAAGCTTCACCAAACACACTTTTAGTCTTCTGTGGAGGTGATTCCAAGAGGAATATTTCACTTGTTCAATGATGAGAGAATTATCGATGAAACCAATTTAGACATGAGATCAGCCATCGCTATCGCTCGTGGATTGGTGAAAAGCTCATTTCGGAGAAACAGGAACAGTTCATCGTATGTATAAGTTAGAGCTATTTTATACTGAGCTTCATCATTGTTGTCTTCGTCACGTGTTGCACTGCTGGCAGATTTATCCTCTCTTGTACAGGATCTGTAACATGATCTATGATAGTGACCTTCTGTTGCTACCAGATCTCTTCTCACGATAGCAAGCATTCTACTATCCATTTTCTTCATGGCGGCTCACTGCATTGAATAAAATATCCTCTTGTTTTCCGTCTGTGAAGAAACTTGCTATGTCAAAAACTCTGAGCTTGATCCTAATCTAGATGATTTTCTAAATCTGGCATTATTTTCAGCCTCATCTGTATTGTCCTTTTTTTCCAATAGCATCAAGAAATTTCTTCATTGTGAAGATACTGTGGCATTTTCTATTATAGTGAACTGGTGGAATTTTTTTCCTCGGGCAATTCTTTCGTCAGGTTTAAAATTGGGGCATGTTTTCTTATTTGGGTTGCATTGAGCAAAATATTCCATGAGTCTAAGCTTTGCGGGGATACCAGCTTTGAGTCTGCTTTGTCATAACATCAATTGATAAGCTAATTCATTACCCTTCTCACCAGTGTTCATTTTCATTCAGTCAGCTGCAAAACACAAAACATGAACCTTTCCTCTATAAATATAATAGTTCTAATTTCTGCACTAATTTCAGAAACGTAATAGCTACAATGTAATGATTACATCAATCCACATAGAGAAGGGAGTGATCTGAAGCAACTTTGCACACATCTGTAACAAACATGTCTAAAACTGAAGTTTTTTATCCTAGCATGATTACACCTCTTATGTATCGTTTCTGTATATTATCACAAGAAACATCTTTTACAAGAGAGCCACAACAAAGTCATCCACTTGTCTTTTCTGCCAACAAATACATGCATTAAACAGATATCACCTTAAGTGCTCTTTGGTAGTTAAATAAAACAATTAAATGCGAGAATTAAATTCTTATTCGAAATTAACACATGTGGTATGCTTGAATTCATTCAACACATTTTCTATTATTTTAAAAACCATATAATGAAAAAATGTTCCACAGTGAGTGGGAATGTATTGATATTTATCCCAAGCTAATTTTGCTCTCTCATGCCCGGGGGAGGAGGTGAGCACAATGTGCTCCCTTCTTCTCCTAAATTGTTACCAACACTCAATTTTTCTAATATTTGGCATGTATTAGGTCATGTTTGATAAGTTGCTGCTTTCAAAATTTTCTGTGTTCAAATAATGAGGGTGCCATAACCGGCAATACGTAATAAAGTATGCAAAAATGTAGCTTTTAAAGCAATTTTCATGAAGATTTAAAATTGTTCAAAAAACATCAAAGTTTCAATGAAATGTATCTGATGCAGTTATTACCTCTTCTACAACATGCAAAAGAATATCTACATAGTTTTGAATTATATTTTTTTTTAAAACATGAAAATCAGCAAAATTTGCCAAACAAATGGAGCAAAAATTGAAAAATTTGATTAAGGTTTTTGGTTGCCATGTTAATCTGGATAAAGATATATCAAATAAAATGTTAAATGTTTAGAATTAAATTTGCCACAAAGTCACCAAATTTGATGGCAATAGGCCCACAAAAATAAAAGTTGGCAACGTCAAATTTAGTGAACTTTTATAGGGTTAATGCGAAAATGGGCGATGCGCTAGAAAAAGGATAAAGCTACTCATTTGAAAAGATTATCAGATATTTTCTTACTTCTAGGAGTGATACAAATTAGTGGTACCGGCATCTGGACTGGTCCATGGACTATAACTTAGGGGATACACTGTGACTTGTAAGTATTATATGATTTCAGTGAAGGTCTGATAATAATAAAGAATTAGTTAAGATTACTATTACCTTGCTTGCTTGGGGATCTTATACTTAAATGTCCTATCGAAACACAGGAATCCAAATGAGAACAAAAACATTAACTTGACGCTAGAACTTAATAATAAGATTGTCACCAACTGATCTTCCATTGTTAAAAACTATCTGATGAAACAAAATCATCATTTTATTACTAATTATTCAAAAGCAGATTTTATTGATAAAAGCGAGACTTATTATAAACTTTAAGATAGCAATTCAGATGCCAAATAATCTTATTTTGAAATTTACCACGAATGCTGATGAAATACTTATACGTAAAGAAGGACTTTTTTTCTGAGTATTTGTTTGTTTGTTTTCGTGCAAAGCAATGTAATAGACTATCTGTGCTCTATCCACTGCAGGGACTTGAACCTCGCCTGTTATCATTGTAAGTCTGTAACTTACTGCTGGGACTTGTGTAATTCAAATAGAATGAATGGCATTGAAATCATCAAACAGATATATACAAATTTTAACAAAAAACAAACAAGCTATTGAAGCTTATCAAAATTGTTTCAGATTTGTATGTAATTAGGCACGAAGCTACACAATGGGCTAACTGTGCTCTGCCCATCACGGGTATCGAAATCTGGATACTAGCATT